CCCTTTCTCACCTGAGCCTGCTGGGTCAAAGCCACTCCCCCTCCGGTCCTCCTGCAGGATTGGAGAAAGCGAAAGTACCCTGTGGATTTTTGTTGGGCTCCTGAGGAAAAAGCAGAAAGTACTCTTCAGAAATTCAGGCCATTTATCTGTCAATTCACTCTGCACTCATCCACCTAGTAGCATCCTACTGCAACACAGGGATAAAAAAGACACAATTTTTTAAAAATGTCAGATACTCCCCTGTTCTGACCCCCTCCTCCGTCCAGTAATGACTGCCGAGACAAGCTTAACTGGAATGTCCTTTAATAGCAAGAAACCAACATCTCGGTGGCTGAAAGCCAAGCATAACAAACAGATAAGAACCTTGGCAGCAACTCAGACAAACTCAGGCAGCAATAAACACAAATAAGGCTTGGCAGCAATCCAGCCTGCCAAGCTCACAGTAATGTCCTCCAACATTCAATACTGCGTTGACTTCTGCAAAGAGGGGCGTGTGCACAAGTAGCTTTTTATAGGCTGGAGAGGAGCCTAATGACCATTAGCTAAGTGCAATTACCTCCTGTAATTGTGTAATTGTTCCTGACCCCTAGTACTCTTCGATGGCGTGCATTCAGGAACAACTCACTGCTAGCTTCTGGATCACTCTCCCTTGTCTCCTCTCCACTGGTCCAAGGCTCAGGCACCACCTGGTGGCCAACCAGTCTCTCTGCACCCTGCTCGGAGTCGGAACCCTGTCTAGGGTCCTCCACATCCTGCAGAGCTAACTCATAGGGCCCCTCGCTGTCGGAGTCTGGTGGCAGCTCCAATGGCTCCTGCTGGGCCACAACACTCCCCAATGTTTTTTGAGGGAGCGGGGGGGGGGGAAGTATAACGATCACAAAATAAACAGCCCATGCAAAAAAGAATGATATAACAGGAAATGAACGTTAAGGAAAGTACCATCCTCAAACAGGGGTGGGCTTCAAAAATGTTAGCAAGGGGTTCTCTACCTGGTTGCTGGGTGGGTGTGGCCATGGTAAGCATGGCCTAGTCAGCCTCCTGCACTATGGGGGACAGGGTTGTGCCCTCCCCGGTCTCCGGAGGCTTTTCTTGAGCCTCCGGGAGGGTGAAAACAGCATCCCCAGGCTCCAGAGGCCCTCTGGAACTTCCGGTAGTGTTCAGTCCCAAGCCTCTACTGTATACGGCAGCAGACTTGGCTCTCTGCCACAACTAAGAAGGGAGATAAGCAAAGCCTTGGCTGAGAGTCCAGAAAGCTATCTCTATGAAACAAGGCTTGAACTCACGAAATTCTCTCAGTCTTTCTCTACAGCTGGATCAGTAAATTGTTGTTTTCTGCAAAATTCCCCTCCTCTTACCCCACCTATAAGCTCTCCGGGTGGGACAAATCAGTAGCCACCTGTTCCTATTTCCTTCTGTGACCTTTTTTCCAAAGCTGCTCCCTCCTCCTCGCAGCCCTATGCATACGTCCGTCAGGGACAGCCGCCCTCTGTTCTTCCTCATTGCTCCCTGACTCAGACGCCACCTAGTGGCCAATGGGCCTCTCTAGTCCCTGGTCTGACTCCGAACACTGCCTCCCCCCGAGTCTTCCTCAGCCTCCAGGGCAGCCTCATAGTGTTCATCGCTGTCAAGATTCCAGCAACAGGTCAGCTGGCCACTGTTGGGCCACAACAGGTAGGCCTGTTTTTCTTCCTCCCCGAGCCTCCATGTGTGTCCTACACTCAACTGCATCCAAAATGGGACCACGTGGAGACTCTTGGGAGGGGAAGGGTGGGTGGGGCCAGCCAGGAGTGGGATTTGGGGGGGGTTCTCTGACCTGCACGGAAACTTAGCTAGAGGTTCTCCTGAACCCCTGCGCACCTCCAGCAGCCCACCCCTGCGCCTAAACCATTATTTCCCAACCTAGCAACCTTTAAGATGGGTCAACTTCAACTCCCAGAATGCCCCTGAGGAATTCTTGAAGTTGCCAAGATTGAAAAGCAGTGACCTAAACAAAATTTCCCAACTTTATTTTTCACCAGCCTCTGGCGGAAATGTACCCTTTCATTTGCAAAGGTATGTAGACAACAAAGAGATTAATGGCTTTTGGTCTTCAAAAAAACGTTAACTCCAATAAATCTCACCATCTAGAATTATTACACATTAAAAAGGGTATTCAAGGGATGTGGTGGCTCAGTGGCTAAGACGCTGAGCTTGTTTTGTTCAGAAAAGTCAGCAGTTCAGCGGTTCGAATCCCTAGTGCCGCGTAACGGAGTGAGTTCCGGTTACTTGTCCCAGCTTCTGCCAACCTAGCAGTTTGAAAGCACGTAAAAAGGCAAACAAAAATAGGAATCACCTTTGGTGGGAAGGGAACAGTGTTCTGTGCACCTTTGACATATAGTTACCTTGCCTAAAGGTGGTTCCCATTTTTATTTGCATTTTTATGTGTTTTCAAACTGCTAGGTTGGCAGAAGCTGGGACAAGTAATGGGAGCTCACTCCATTACGCAGTACTAGGAATTTGAACTGCCGACCTTTCTGAGCGACAAGCTCAGCCATCACCCCCTAGAATTGGGAACGACTAGCACATATGTGTTGTGGCCCAGCAGGAGCCATTGGAGCTGCCGATGGACTCCGATAGCAAGCACTCCTCTGAATTTGCTATGGGAGATGTGGAGGACCCTGGGCAGGGTTCAGACTCAGAGCAGGGACCAGAGAGGCTGGTTGGCCACCAGGAGGCGCCTGAGGCATGAAGCAATGGGGAAGATCAAAGGGAGTTTTTCCCTGACGCCAGGCAACGTCGGGCAGAGAAACAGAGGCAGCAGTTATGGAGACAGACTCGTAAGAGATAATCAAGCCCAGGTGGTTGTGGCTTGGCCCCTCCCAAGAGAGTATATAAGAAGAGACTTTGGGAGGAGTCCTTTTGCAGGACACAACCGTTCGTACTAATCTGGAGAACTCCTTGTCTGGTCTGACTTGTGTTCCTGTGTCTGTTGGAGGAGTCTGCCAGTGAGTCGTGTCTGGGCTTTCAGCCAACAGGATTATAATTGCTGTGAATAAAGAGTGGCAAACAGCTAAACCTGTGTCTTCGTTCATTACCGGACGGAGCGGTGGGAACAGAACAGATAAGATAGATAGATAGATAGATAGATAGATAGATAGATAGATAGATAGATAGATAGATAGATAGATAG